TAAGGTCCTCCAGCGATTCTGCCATAAGGACTATATCGTCGGCAAATCGAAGGTGAGTGATGTACTCGCCATTGATGTTAATACCGTATCCTTTCCAGTCCAGTAGCTTGAAAACGTCTTCCATTACAGGGGTGAAGAGTTTCGGGGATATAACGTCACCCTGTCTTACATCTCTCTGCAGTTGGATAGGTTTCGAACTCGGGTTCTGTACTCGGATAGCCATCGTAGCCCTACTGTACAAACACTTCAGCACTTCGATATACCGACAATCAACTTGGCACCGATGAAGGGACTGTAGCACCGCCCAAATTTCGACGGAACCGGGACGGAAAGGCTATCTCATAGTCCACATACGCCAGGCAAAGTCGCAGGTTGTACTCTTCGGTCTTCTGTACAATCTCGCATGCAAATTATTTAAAAATGCCAAATTGCACCCTATTTACAATTAAATATGTATTCAAATTTAAACGATTTTTTTTAATGATGATCTTGAACATTAATTAGTCTAAAATGTGTAAATTTATTCAGTCTGTCAACACAGCGAATCGGCTTTCGTACAAAATAAAGTTTACAGCCATTCTATTGCGTATTATAGTATTCTATGGTACTAGGTATACTCGTTCAATATACGCTCCATAATCTCATAGAGACCTTTTCTTACTTTACCGTGTAGTAGCGGTGTAAGAATGGACACCACAGGCTCAGACTTTTAACCATAGTTCTTAGGTGCACAACGCAGGTGCAACCTTCTTTTTAAAGTTTGTTGCAGTGCAGTGGTTGATGATCCATAGGTCATAAACCATTTACCATCAGGTTTACTGTTAGCTTGTTTAAAAATATTAAATTGCACGGAGCAGTTCTCGGTGAATTAAATATTTTTCTCCACTAGATTATTAGAGGGAACTTTCATTCGATGTCTTATTTATAAAATATAATATTTTGTAAGTGGTTGGGCCACAGGATCCCAGGTTCCGTTTCGGTAATAATGACCCCAAAATTATTGGTGCGCGTATGACGAAAGTGCATTGTATGGCGTGGTTAGTTATAACCAAAACAAAATGGCGGACGTCGCACGTGGCAGGTATTGGACAATATACTTGCGGTAATTTAATTTACTATATTAGCCGGCACGACAGAAACCTGAGCTGCCAAGGAAAGAACAAGAAATAAAAAATAGCTCAAGATTTAAAGGAACAGGCACTTACCGTGGTTGATCTGCGAGCGACCTCTTACTGTGGCCTGCATGCAAGCGAGGCACGGCGTACATCCGGCCTTTCACTTTTGCGTAGCGCCCTCTCATTGGGCTAACAAAATGACGCCACCATGTCTAGCCCCCTATTGGGCATGCCCGTGCGGGAAGAAAAACGGAAGTAGGAAAGGAGATTATTGCCGGCTAATAAACGTACTAATTTAACACAAATGCAAATGTTTGTTTTTGGCGCAACCAGTAAGAAATATTACACACTACAGGAAAATACGAATAAAAATGCGGATTAAAATGGCAACAAATTTGATATTTTATTTATAATAGCAACAGATCTTCAAAAAAATAAATAAAATAAGTTTATGTAATCGGACCACATCCTCAGAGATTCATCAAGCAATCTACCCGACTGGACCACGCGGGTATAACGTTTAGTGTAGCGAGTCAGTCAGGAAGTATGCTAAATCTATAATATACCAAATTCGTCATAAATATTTACATATAACTATTAAGAAGAAGGATGAGGTACTTTCGGAAAAAATATAACACTTACGGCCAAATACTTTGAGTACGCTGTAAATATATTTTCAATCAAGTTCAAAAAATGCGATTGTTATTATTGTATTCGCAATGGAATGTGTTGAAAATTGGGCTACAGTCTAACGTGTCATCAGAGCACATCAGCAGAATCGGCGAGAAACTGGTTCGACTTCCTTCGGGAACACATGCATTCTGGTCTCTCACCACGGCTGTCTAAGGGAACTTTTGTCAACCCTGCACAGTGAGGACGACTCACTGGCCTATGCCGCAAAGGACAAAGTCAAGCTGATGGGCTCTCTCTTTGCGTCCAACCCGGACTCTTGATGACGGAGGGAACACTGCCGACCATCCCACGATGTGAGTGCTCCATGCAGGATGTGCTGTTTAACCAGCGCTCGATGCGCAGAGTACTTCTCTCCCTGGACGTCAACAAGTCGAGTAGGCCTGATGACGTCCCTCCTATTGTGCTAAAGACGTGTGGTCCGGAGTTGGCACCGGTTTTAACGCCTCTTTTCGCACTCCGCCCTAGGTGTAGTCCCGAACTCATGGAAGACAGCTTTAGTGCACCCTATCCCTAAAAAAGGCGATTGCTCTGATTTGTCCAACTACAGGCACAACCGCGAACACCTCCTTGTTCTCCAAAATAATCTAAACAATTATTAAGTGCAAGCTCATGATGTACCTTGAGGATCACCAGCTGATTATCGACCGCCACAGTACGCTTTCCGTCGGGATCACTCAGCTGGTGATCTTCTGGGTTACCTAACTCATAGATGGGCGAAGGCCAAGGAGAAGGAAAGTCAATGGAGTCCAAGGGGGAGGCGTTCGCCGTTAGTTTGGACATAGTGTAGGCTTTCGATCGGGTTTGGCACTAAGAACTTTTTACGAAGTTCCTTCCTATGGGCTTCCCGAGAAATTGTGCAATTGGATCACCAGTTTTCTTGCAGATCGGAGCATCAAGGTCGTAGTAAATAGTGCATGCTCCGATTACAAGCTCATCGACACTGGTGTACCTCAAGGCTGCATGCTACCACCAACGCTGTTTTTTCTGCATATCGCTGATATGTTGCAAACACGTAACATTCATTGCTATAGGGATGATAGCACTGGTGATGCTCTGTACATCGGCCGTGCCAATATTACTCGGGAAAACTTCTCCGAGTACCGAGACAAACTTGCGTGTGAAGTCGAGTCTTTGCTGAACAAAGTCTCGGATTAGGGTAGACTAAATCAAGTCCAGTTTAATCCTCAGAAGACACAAGTTTGCGCTTTACCAGTAAAAAGAACCCCTTTGTCGTATCTCTTCAGTTTCAAGGCACTCCCCTTGTTGCCTCAGCCAGTATCGGAATCCTCGGCGTCAACATATCGAGTGACGTGCCGTTTCGTGGTCACTTGGAAGAGAAGACTAAGTTGGCCTCTAAAAGCTTGGCGTGCTCAGCATAGCAGGACAGTATTTCATGCCGACACACCACCTGCAACTTTACAAGGCGCAGATTCGGCCTCACACCGAATACTGTTCCCATCTCTGGGCTGGGGCTCCCCAGTGCCAGCTCTTTCCACTTGACCGCATCCAGCGCAGAGCGGCTCGAATCGTCGACGACCGAGTGCTTTACGATCGGCTCGATTCACTGGCAGTACGAAGAGATGTAGCATCTCTTTGCATTTTTTTCGCATCTACCACGGGGAGTGCTCTGAGAAATAGTTCGGACTAATTCCAGTCACACAATTTCACCATAGCACATCACGACGATACTCGCGATACCATCCATACCATCTGGATTACTGGCGGTACACCACTGTGCGATTTAAAAGACGTTTTCTTCCTCGCACAATTTCTTTGTGGAATCGACTGGAATCCACAAGAGATTTTTCAGTAATTATAGGAATTAGGGACCTTGAACAAAAGAGCCAACTTCTTTTTTAAAGGCCGGCAACGCATCTGCAATTTCCCTGGTGTTGCAGTTGTTCATGGGCGGCGGTAGTCACTTACCATCAGGTGAGCCGCATGCTCGTTTACCCCCTCCTAAAAAAACAAAGAGTCAGTTGTCGAAAGCGTCTAGATGGGGCAATCGTACGATGCGGTACGGGACAAGACGCGGGCAGAGCGGTACGCTAGGGTTATCCTGTCATGTAAATAAATTAAAATGGTTTACACTATATGTGCAGTAAAAATAAACTATGGACCGTCCTCATTTAAATATATGCAATTTAAATTATTATAACCTATTCTTATTATTTCTGTCTGATTGTCTAATAATGTTATTTAATTTGTTTAAATGTGAAATAAAATAAAATCAGTTTTTTATTACTTCCCGTTGTGATGACTCTAGCAATTTATTGTTTATGTCGCCTTGTCTGACAATATCAAACGCGATGACTGACTATATGTTCTTAGGCTGTGTTTGAGCCAACATACACTGGTCACATGCGCACAATAATAAATTTATATAGATTCACTTGCAGTCTGTGCAGTTGAATAGTTTATTTTATTTAAGGCGATATGGAGATTAGAGGTACGTACTAAGAGTATGAAGCAAAATGAAAAAAATATTTAAAACCTTTCTTTATGACTACAGCAGATGTTAAAAGTTTCGTAAAATAAAGGTCAATTGTAATCGAGTAAAGAACTTAGTTAATATAACTATCGATGTTTCCTTGTTTGATTGTAAGGCCGCGTCCCCATTAGGCTCACAGTGAGCGGCTGAGTATTTGCCCTTGTCTCTGAGCAGCGTATCGGATCAAATGAGCGGCGAACTCTAGCGTATTAGCCGCGATGCGTTGCGAACTCTAGGGAGGGAAGATAGAAGGTACGGTACGGTAGTATATATCAGTGTTGTGAGAGGAGTGGTTGTGTTTGACGCCATGGATATTCTCGAGGTTATAGCTGTTTTGAAAGCATTAAATTAGTTTATCTCTAACTGATCGCATAGCGCCGCGAAGCGCGACGGCGCGGTATAGTGATCTAACTGAGACGCCAATCGCGAACATCGTTCACTGCGACTCTGCCCTTTACTCAATGAGTCGGCAAGCGAAACGCCGCAAATTGAGTACAGTACACGCTGTATGGACACTCCATTTCAAATATATAGGGAGGCAAACTAGAGGCAAACAGTCAGCCGCTCACTGTGAGCCTAAGGGGGACGCGGCCTTAGTTGGCCACTAACTCGGGCATCGTGAAAAAAAAAACTCAAGCCTACCAGAAGTGTGCGCAAGGCCTTAGATTAACAAATTACAGGTACAAATAACATACAGCTTATTAAATACTATCATAATCTTCGTAGTCAAAGTCCGCAGTAACAGTAGGTGACAATAAATCTTGCTGTGGATTAGAACTTCGTTTTTCACTCTTGCTTTTCTTATGTTTATGTTTCTTTTCCTTTCGTTCAGACTTATCGCTGCTGTCCGCTTTGTCCTTATCTTTAGATTTTTTCTTTTTGTGCTTTTTTTCGATCTGAAAAAAAATCTTACATAAGATGCGCCCAAACAAAATGCACTTATTGTGGTGAGAAGTAGAGAAGTATTATAATGCAGAGTTCGCGAGCAAGTCTAGATCGATCCGATTTCCCTAAACGTGGTCATAAGATGTTGTAGCTGAACGGTAAATGAAAACGTCGTTATGAAACCTGCACGTCCAAGACATTAATATGCCATCAAAAACATAACTTGTAAAAAAACCAAGTCTCGCAACTCAGTTCTTCTACCGTAAAAACTTGTGAGATCCATGTAATATCAAGTCGGTTAATTTATTCAGACCCTACTTAAGGGTCCTGTTTTAAGTTATTACGTAATTAGCTAACCTAACAACATTTTATAGTGACCATATCAATGTTAAAAATCTTTTATGTTTCAAATAAATAGATTGATTGAAAAAAATATTCTTAAATTTGAAATATAAAATTTATAATGCAATTTTATGAATAGAAACCAATATTTCTAGTTTACTTTTTATAAAATCTATCACAAATATATATTATTCTTTTTTATTACATGGATACTCTATTGTAGTGCAAATGAGTCGTCGATCGGAAAACGACCACAATTTCACAAAAGACCAGCGTGAAATAACAGCGTAATGTTGTTGCTGGTATGGTTAATGTAGAGAACCGAAGACATTTTCTACTGGATTCTTAATCGAGGATAGATGCAGACGTCTATAGGCCATAGCACGCACTTACCATCAGGAGGATTATGTGCTCGTTTGTCAAACTTATTCTATAAAGAAAAACACGTTACCTTTGGATCAGGATCTTTGGGAATTTCCGGATCTTCCCCACCTGCAATTAAAATTGATATTGTAGATATATAATTTTTATTTTTTATTTATTTATTGGCTACGGTGCCAAGGGCCGCACACAGAATGCCGCGGGTTCGAATCCTGCACGGAATAAGTATATATTGTTATAGTCTATACTACAAAAATTTTTCTGGATCTGGATGTTTGTCATTGTGCAATTTATGTATGTAAACTGTCTTCACGATCATGAGAAAATCCTAGTGTGGGGATACCGTTTATGAATGAAAAATACTAAAGATATATATAATATATATATATATATATACACACATCCCGTAACTTATTGTACGTCCACTATGGCCAATTTTGCATATAATGTGGCGTCAACCTGCTTATGACGTCCAATATACGGACGTCAAATAGGAGACTTAGCGCAATGTTCGCAAATTGTCATGCTGTTCACAGAAATGTCAAAATCTAAAAAAAAAATTGGACGTCATTTTTCTTCCAATCTTGCTGTACTGAATATTTACGTAGTTCCGCTAGTTTTCGTTGCAAAAATAATAGCGCTGCTGTCGATTTGTGAATACTTTCATTTATGGCCGTATTTGGCTTCAGCACAAAATTAGGAGATGCGACATTGCCGTTCCGTCACCGTTGCCAACGTGTTACTTGTATTTGGTGATATATGGTTATGACTGCCTCGTTGGTCTAGTGGTTGTAGTAGTGCGACTACTGATCGTGAGGTCCTGGGTTCGACTCTCGGGTCGGGCCAATAAATCAATTATTGAGTTTTTCTGTCAAGAAATTCTCAATATCTTCCCGGAGTCAGGAAGTTGGCGGTGTATCACCCCCGTGCCTCGTAAGCACGTAAAGCTGTTGGTCCTGCGCCTGATCTCTCTCCGGTCGTGTCGGTTTACCGTGTCATCGGATTATGAGAATGAGGGAATAGAGAGTGCATCTGTGGTTGCGCCTACACTTGGGCACTATAATCCTGTCCTACGCCGATGGCTAGTCTCCGTTGAGGGGAGCCGCCGTGACAGTAATTCGGTCTGCAGGACATTATTATATGGTTTATACTGCGCTTGGTACTAGTAATTTTACTTTTAAACTTGTTTTCTTAACTTTACATTTACCTACACATAATATGGACGTCCGAATATCCTAAAACTTTGATACTGAATGATATTTGACATCCGTATTTTTGAATTTAGTTATATTTATAAATGTCTGAGATGCGGAATGTTTGGCCGGGGTGGTGGTGTTCTTGTCTTCCTTCTCATCTCATACAGGGGGTGCGGGGGGCGGCGTGGGCGTCTTTTCCCTTCTCCTTCCACCCTACATAGCCCTGGTTTGTTTGCGGTGTTTTTTTTTTTTTTTTTTTTTTTTTTTTTTGTGGTCCCTGTTCTTGTAAAAGATGCGGACGTTGGCTTATCGGTTTATTTTATGCTGCACTATATTTTAACATTTTACATTTGGTACTAATTTGCCTAAAAGAACTCTTGTTAGGTATTTCGCAAGCAACCCATAATTCTGTTTGAGTATAAGTTACCTTCTGATTGAGTACAGGAAGATGGACTCAATTGTAGATATTGACAGGTTTCATAGAATTTTGTTTTATTATATTGTGACTAATAACCTCTGACTAATAACCTAATATGGTCTGGCGAAGAAACTCATTTTAATATAAGGTTTTACTGCATTAACTGCCAGTAGGTTGTTAATTTGTACAATAGACCGTGGCATATTGTTGCTGACATAACTCCGAAAATATAATTTATTTACTTGATCGTGTTGAGTTTTGGTGCTCTCTCTGCATCGTAAGGTCGAGTGCGACTATTGTACCTAATCTGTACGAAATTACTCTCTACTTAACTAGATTCATTTTTGTGAAAGGCTATTTTTGTTAAATTATGATATTATGTTTGGTTTTGCAGTTAGTTGAAATACAATTTAATTTTTCACACACGTTTTCTAAGCTTCTAAGCGTTTTATCATTTCTAGAACGAAACATTTTAAAACATCAAAGTGACTATTTTACACCGCATGGCCTCCCTACACTAAAATACGAATAAAACAATAGCGAAAAATGTAATTAAAGCAATGGTCATTAATGTGTGTCTTATACACAAGGAATTAAAATATAAATATATTCATGGTTATATGGACGTCAAATATCATGCGGTATTAAACTTTACCGTTAATCTGACGTCCACATATAGAAATATAACAAAATTCAAAAATATGGACGTCAAATATCATTCAGTATGAATGTTTTAGGATTTTCGGACGTCCATATTATTATGTGTACACAGGTAGTAATTTAAAGTTGAAATTTTGGCGCACACCGTACCCCAGAAACCGCTACAAACGGCAATATTTATCAAAAAAGAAATAAGAAAGGTTTTCTAAGCGTTTTATCGTTTCTAGAATGGAGCATTTTATGAAACACCAAAGTGACTATTTCATACCGCATGGGCTCCCTACACTTAAATAAAAATAAAACAATAGCGAAAAACGTCATTAAAGTAATGATCATTAATGTGTGTCTTATACACAATAAATTAAAATATAAATATATTCATGGTTATAGGACGTCAAATATCGTTCGGTATGAAACTTTGCCGATAATCTGACGTCCACAAATAGAAATATAACAAAATTCAAAAATATGGACGTCAAATATTATTCGGTATGATTGTTTTAGGATATTCGGACGTCCATATTAATTATTATATGTAGCTAAATCTAAGGACACGAAAACAAATTGGAAAGTAAAATTATCTACTAGCACTTACAGTAAACAATAGCTTGAGCACTAAATAAATAATCAACATAAATAAATAGTAAAATGCAATTATCAACAATAACTTTGGACATCGGATATCGAAGAAGTGGACGTCAAATAAAACTTATTGTGAATATTTTAGGATATTCTTACTTCCGTATATGGGTAAATACTCGGTTCAATGTCTATGTCAAGTACATTAATCAACTTACACAAGTTTATTTACCTAAGTTACTAAATATAACCAAAGAAACTTAAATGCAAGCAAGCATAAACGTGGAAAGTTCTTAATGTGCGTAGGTCACAATACGGACGCCAATTAGAGCACGATATGCATGTTTTTAGTAATATAGCGTCCAATATTTATAACAACAAACACAAACAAATTGTATTTTAACTAACTGCAAAACCAAACATAATATCATAATTTAACAAAAATAGCCTTTCACAAAAATGAATCTAGTTAAGTAGAGAGTAATTTTGTACAGGTTAGGTAAATAGTTCGCACTTATCCTTAAGATGGTAATCATAAAAAGTAAACTCGCAGTGAGAGCACCAAAACTCAATACGATCAAGTAAATAAATTATATTTTCGGAGTTATTCATGTCAGCAACAATACGCCACGGTCTATTGTAGAAATTAACAACCCATTGGAAGTTAATGCAGTAAAACCTTATATTAAAATGAGTTTCTTCCCAAGGTCATATTAGGTTATTAGTCACAATATAAGAAAATGAACTTCTATTAAACCTGTCAATATCTACAATTAGTACTTATTTACAATAGTAAAATAAATAATCATATAGTCAATCTATAATGTATCACAGCTGGGCAATCCTAGATATTTTTTCGTATTTAGTAAACGAATAACTAGTTGGTAAATTAATCATGATATCTCTGTTTCTTTTCGCCGGAGACAAAAATGATATTGCGTATTTTTCGTAACTGCACATTCTGTGGATTTATTTCATTATTTTGAACAATATACGAACCTTAAGTGACTAAAATTAAATCTAATCTGAACCAGAATCATAAAAACTGTATTATTCGTGCTAAAAGAATCTAATAAAGATCTGTTATTTTTGTCTCCTGCGAAGAAAACAGACTATAGGAATCTATCGAATACCTACATAAACAAAATATCACCTACTATAAATAAAATATTACAAATATACGGACTAACGGAATAACTAATAAGAGTGGCAACGTCGCACCATACAACGGAATTGCGTTAAGCAGGAGAATGAATTAAAAACCGGCCAAGAGCATGTCGGGCCACGCTCAGTGTAGGGTTCCATAGTTTTCCGTCCGTCACAATAAGGGTTTCCACTTATGAGTTTAAAGGTGGGTATCCATTATGTTCGCGCTCCAGCAGCGCTCCGCGCTCCTGCAACTGCTCCCGGTAGTGGGTGGGTGTTTCCATCCAAGTTCAAAATGATTTTCCTAGAAAGTCCTTATAAAGTTCTACTTTTCAGATTTTTTTCATATTTTCTAAACTTATGGTTCAAAAGTTAGAGGGGGGGGGGGACACATTTTTTTTTACTTTTGGAGCGATTATTTCCGAAATTATTGACATTATCAAAAAATGATTTTAGTAAACCCCTATTCATTTTTAAATACCTTTCCAACAATATATCACACGTTAGGATTGAAATTAAAAAAAAATCACTTCACACTTTACATATAGGGGGGCTACCCTAATAAAACATTTTTTTCCAATTTTTATTTTACCACTTTGTCGGCGTGATTGATACACATATTGGTACCAAATTTCAGCTTTCTAGTGCTAACGGTCACAGAGATTAAGCGAGGACGGATAGACGGACAGACAGACATGGCGAAACTATAAGGGTTCCTATTTGACTACGGAACCCTAAAAACTATGTATATTACGGGGATTCTGGATAATTTGTAATATGGAAGGGAGTCCTGATTGGTTTCCCTCCGTCTGGCAATATACGAATATTTGTATATCGACATATGGTAAATTTTCAAAGAAATGAGTTAAACACTATCTTTGAAATTGTTTAATGGACCAATATGCGTAGTCATAATGTATAAAAACTGCCTACAAGTGGTGGACGCTACAATAATGCGAAGTGAAAGGACGTAGAATCAATATTGTGATATATATATGATTAGTATGCAATATAGTCATCTTTTAAAATATCAAAAAATTCTGTAGTAAGTATAATAGTTCGAAAAAGTAATGCAAAATTTTGTTATTACTAATAATACTGTCTTCTAGACTGCACTTCGGTCATGGCGGTTAGTCTGAACGAAAGCTAACTGTCTGTACAGATAAAGATTATACAGATAATAAAGAGTAAGAGTTTAGACAGATAAAGGTGCACTCTGTATACCCACACTCATAATCCGATGGGACGGTTATCCGACACGACTGGAGAGGGATCAGGCGTAGGACCAACGTCCTTAAGTGCTTGCCAAAGCACGGAGGCGAAACACCGCCAACTTGACTCCGGGCTGCTACTGAGAGTTTGTAAAATGAGTATTGAAAAACTCAATAACTAACTTTGTCCCGTTGACCCGGGATTCGAACCCAGGCTCTCATGATCAACAGTCGCGTTTACGACAACTACGTTACGAGGCATCCAAAGTCAGACTGTTAATATTACTTACGTACGTACATAATTACATGTCTATTTCTCCCAGGGTAGCCCGGTAGAGAATGCCAAAAGACTTATAGTGCCCTACGTACTCAATACAACAAGGCATTCAGGGCGCTGTTGCGGCTGCCGCGCTACTGTAGCGCGTCTGCGATGTTTGCACTGGCGGGTGTGGATAGTGTTGATGCAATAATACGAAAAAAGACCGCATCTTTGCTAAACAGAGTGCGCGGCAGCGGCCACAGTGTACTGAGTGAGATTGCCAACAGTGGGGACTGTCCACTGATCAAAAAAATGATTTCCAGGACCATGTCCTGCTTAATAATTAAATATTAAAATAAAATAAAAAAAATGTATAAATTATATTACTAACATAGATGTAAGTTTTTCTCTACTAACAATTCCTATGGATTTCAAGTTGTCCGAAATAAACAATATTTTTTTTATAAGGCATTAAGTCCGCCCATTGTAATCCTTGGCTTAAGGTGTAACACAATAAGGATTAAATAAATAAATAAGTTAATCTATACCATTACACTTAATATAATAACGGATATAGTAATAAATTTATGATACATAAAGTGTATTACATGTGTACTACCATAGAATACTATAATACAGATTAGAATGGCTGTCAACCTTATTTTGTTCGAGGATTGGCGTCGCCGAGGGCACAAATACAAGCAATTACGTCGTATTATCACTACTAAAACCCGATTCACTGTGTTGACAGACTGAGTTTACACATTTTAGACTTTTGATTAATGTTCAAGATCATCATTAAAAAAAATCGTTTAAACTTTAATAGGTACATATTTATTTGTAAATAGGGTGCAATTTGGCATTTTATAAATAATTAGCATGCGAAATTTGGAAATAATTGTAACGTCAAAACACATCTCGTGTTGACATTTATACGTGTGAATTGACGATGTTAATGACATTTTAGTGACTACACGGGCTTCGCCCACTCCTCCGTTCTATTATATATGTATTATAGTATTCTATGTGTACTACAATACAAAGTTAGTCTTATGTGGTATTACAGTGCACAAATGATATGTCAAATTACTTATGGATAAAGGATAAAAGTGCTAAGACATAATGTATCGAAGGATTAAAGTTTTGACTTCAGATTTTAAATGAAGTGGAAATGATTATACTCTTTTTGGTTTTTCAAAATGTCAAAATTTTAATTATAGTCCCATACAAACCAAGAAAGAAAAAAACGGAGCGCTGCGTATGTTTCAAATGATGCCAAAACCAAACTAAAACAAAGCTTAACTTATTTTACACGCACTCACATATTGCGTATAGGCATCTAAAATTATTTGCAACCTACATGGTTTTAGATGCATAAAGGAAAAAGAAGATGTGTCCGTGAGTGTGTCAAGAAGTGGAGCACGGTTTCGGTATAACTTGGATTCTATGCAGCGCTCAGTCGTCTGTTAAAACTAACCTTCTGGTGATCTTCTTATACTTGAGTCTTCGGACCAAATAGGAAATTCATTGTTCAAGGACAAATGCAAATTATGTTGTCGACTACCTAACATTTTTGTATTATTAGTTTCATCCAATTTATCTTCGCTTATAACTGTCTGATTCATAAACATATTTTCCAAACTTTCTTCATCCTTGTCCATATTTGTAGAATATTCGTTGTTCACACTTATTTCAAAATTTGTATGAGTGGCGGGAGTGTTGTCAATTTCTAAGTCATCTTCATCCACTGTGACCTTTGGGTTTGTTGTGACATCGTCATCACTGAAATAGAAATAAATAAAAACAAACCTTAACTCTTACCAAATTTAAAAAAAATATTATTTTACTTGATTACTATTATACTATTATTTGTATTATTTATTGTATAGACGAGTATACATATTAATTTATGCCATACAAGCCATTTAATTATGATAATATGACATGTGCCAAGCTACTGTGGTGTTTTGTTGCGGATTATACTGGGAACCTACCATCTGTATTTGTAACAATATATAGGTCAGATGTGATTATTTTAAAATATAGTCAATAAGTATTGAAGGCGAAGGAAATCAATATGAGGCACCTGCACCTGTAATTCTGAGAAATCAAGTATTTCGAACATATTATGCAATAAAGTCCGGCAGCATGCACTGGAGCAGTATAGCAGACTAATAGCTGTATAAGCCTCTTAGGAATGAGAAAAAGCCTGTGTCGCAGCAGTGGGACGTAAATAAACAGTAACTTTAACTAATAAATATATGTCGACGTACCTGTCAGTTTCATAAGTAAGTTCCTGATTAGAGTGTGTTATAGGTGTAAGGTCTTCCAAAAAACTGCTATCTAGTGTCCCAGCATAAAATTCTTCTAATGCTCCAGAAGATGCCGATATATTTGTCCCAGATGGTGTACCTGGTACACTAAAGTAAAACAAGGCGATTATAAACTAATAAACTATATTTTAAGCTTTTACGTAAAAAGAACCTATTGCTAACTCCCTAATACCTTAATAGATACCAATTATTTTTATAATTCCAATATATTCGCGTAATTAAGTACTTAAAACTAGTATCATTGAATACAAGGTATTTCATATACATCATATTTTTAGTATATGAAAATTTAAAAGCTATTATTATTAAGGTTCAAGAGGTACAAAAACGAGAAAATAAAAACGACAAAAGAATCGAATATGGTATAAAAGAACATATAACTTAACACAATGTAATAAAAAAATTAAAACAAAACACTGACCTGTCTTTTTGTGATTGTCTTGCAGGCGTCATATCTAGACTAACAAACTGTTTCTGTGTCATTAGCTCAGGGCTCACATACTGGTTCTGTTTTTGTGTGTTTTCTTGTGCACTATGAAGTGCCTTTATTCCTTTCGGATTAAGTGACTGTGCCACCTAGCATATGATTAAAATTTTTTATTACGTGCATAATTACGCTTTAAAACATTATTAAACAGTATAAAGGTGAAGAAACTTACTAAGGGGTTTACATTCGGGGGTACTATTGGTTTCCCTGCCCCTAAAACAATGCTCGGGGACCTATCGTTATTGATACGGGTTTCGACACGCTCACCGCTCTGACGTCGCTTATTAGCAAGGCGATCCAAGAATATATTATAGTGCGCTTCGTCGGAATTCTAAAAAAAATCGTTTGTATTTAAATTATAGTAGAGAAAAAGTAAAATATATTTGAATAGCTGAATTATGTATACTTGAAAATCGTCCAGCTCCTTTTCAATGTCCTCCATATCTCTTTGATTTCTCTGCAATTGTTCTAATAAACTTGTTCTCTGTAATCTTAGGAATGGGACACTGAGGAACTTGTGTAACAATCTTAATCCAAATCCATTCCTCATGGATGACTCAGCGTACCGTACAGGCGCTGTCCTGCAGTTAAAAAATAAGTAAGTTACTTCTATAATAATTATAGTGAAGACTGTGTTACCTCGAAGCGATCTTTATAAAAATACAAAAGTGGAAAGAATAAAACCAATGGACTAATGCATTAAAAAGTATTCATTAACTTCTTTTAAGTTTCTTTTTATCTAAATTTAAAGTAAACTGTAGTTAAACAAACCATAAAATCACTCATATATAAATTTCAGCAAACGACCGGAAATAGCAAATGGATCAACCACTTAAAAAGACGTTCACTGCCGTCGCTCAGCACAAGTAAAGACGCGGGGTTAGGATATAATTGCTTGGCGATAAGCACTCTCCTCATCTTACCCTTTGTGACTTTGCGGAGCCGAGCCTCTTATGTAATGCCTTCTTATGAAATGCCTGTATCATACCAAAATAACACCGCTCGCCTACCCTTCGCGGCTGAAATTTAATACGCGGTAGTCGTTTTTCCTAGCACTGTAGTTTAATAGAATTGCAGATATGGAGGGTATTTTAAAATGAGATGCAGGTAGTGTAGAAAGGCACACCTTTGTTTTCGGCGCTATTGCCCGAGAACTTTACCTCCTACGAGGCGCTATCAAGGGGCGACTGATATTGGTAGTGCAGCGAATGCGTACGTAAACATTCCCGTGACGCTGTCGTTATGTAGGGGAACAGTTGGAACAGTTGTTAAGTAAGTTAAGTTGCCTTTATCAAGCGAGTACCTATGCGTAGATGCCATGAGAAGATAACGATATTGAATCGAAGTTGATGAAAAATGAAATAAACACATTTCATGAATATAATGCATGAAAATAAATATGAGCGTTTAAGGACACTACTTAATCAGATCAGATTTTTTCTTTCTCTTTATTTATATGTAATATAAACCTCGTAAGTTTTGCATTACGTAGAGCTTGTTCTATGTGTCAAATGAAATAAAAACATTTCATGAATATAATGCATGAAAATAAATATGAGCGTTTAAGGAAACTATTTAATCAGATCAGAATTCATTTCTCTTTATTTATATGTAATATATACCTCGTAAGTTTTGCATTATGTAGAGCTTGTTCTATATGATGCGGATGTACTTGACGGTGATGTTGCATGTCGCAATGATTCCCAAGCACCACTACAGGCAAGTCGGCCGGCACACGGGACAACTCGTTCACGACGTATTCAAATGTCCTATAAGAACATACAAAAATCGAGGATTGAAGACGCAGGGTACAGTCTACATAGGTCTGGGTGCCCTGCTGTGCTATCCGTCGTTGATGCGTTCTGGGTATTTCATGTCAGTTTTAAATAAAATTGGTTATACCGCTACCTCTCAAAAGATAAAAGATTTTTCTGAATTTTTCTGAAAAAAAAAATATTAAGCTTTTCCTCTTATATCTCGGGAGTTTATAAGATTAAACAATATACTGTACAGTAGAAAAAGAAACAGTTTGCAGAGTCGCTGAATGTGAATGGGACTTGTTCTTTGGAATATTGAGAAATGGTTATATTTAATTTTAAATTTGCTCAAGATTTTGCTCAAGCGTCCGCATTACCGGAAATGATATAAAATAAAGATTATGTTAACCTAAACTATCAATGAGGAATAAAGAGAAAATAACGAAAACGCCGCATAAATTTTATGGCAGCAAATCAACAGGACAAAATCAGTTACTAAGTTTTCTCCTTTTTTCAGTCTTATACGACCAGCTTGAGTGCCGAGCGTTGAATTCCCCAATTATTACGGTTTTATAGAAACGATATTTTCTAAATCTTGCCGGTTATTTTTTAACATAAACAGCTTCTATGCCATCATTACTTAATTGTAAATGTCCCCTAACCATTTTAATAGATTTGTGCGTTAAAACAGCAACACGCCTATAAGAGTCATCTATATCATTACGGTAAAATATTATAATGTTTAATTTTAATATAAGTGACGGTATTAACCAAGTTTCGCTTAAGGTTACGATATGTATTTTCCTTGTTTTAAAAGTTTTTTATCCATTAAATACGTTTAAAACGGTTTTCAACATTAGCCATTTCGAGATATTGTCCACAGTTACCAAAATTAGCCACTCAACACATAACTTTATCACTTTGTGAACTTTCTCTTGCAAACTAAAATTATTAAAAAATATTACTTCCTTTAACCTTATAACTAGGTCACTAAAAGATATGTTACCAAAAGATTCGTTGTTATTTGCCTCACCAGAAGATTCGTCGTTATTAGATTCAAATCTATTACTTCATAATGACGTGTCACGCTCGTATTTATTTTCTCCTTTTTTGTTTGGCGTCGGCGGGGCGACAATATATTACTTTCACATTGACTAATATCATCTTCATTATGCGTTATATTTTGGCTGTTACTTCTGCAAAAGTGGGAATGTTTTGGATTGTAACCGCTTCCCTCTTCGGTGTTATCATTATATATCTCCTGCTGGATGTTATATTATGTTATGCTTGTTCTGTAAGTTTTAGGTCCGTTGCTTTATGTAGTGTTGGCGCAACAGATTATTTAAGCCGTCCTGTATGTGCAGTTAAACTCGGCCGTAAGTTCTCGTAACTTTCTTTCTTTAAGGTAAGCAGGGCAAGTCCTAGACCATCAGAACAATTGACACGTTTGAATGTTTTAGTATCACGGTTTTTTACGTGGTAGAGCTACGCTGGAGCTAAATTATAGTTGTAGCACGAATAGGTCCACGCGACCAGGGCAGGACCACGCTCTCACAGAATACCAACGTAAAATTGCAGCGTAATGCTGCTGTGTTTCTTATGGTGAGTATCGGTCAACAGGAGAACCGAACCCTTTTACTGGAATCGAAGCAATTCATCTTAGTCCTCAGGGGTGACAATGTATTTGCATTTTGATCCTTAGTTTAGGATAAATGTGGATGTCTATGGGCTATGGGCCACACCATCCAATTACCATCAGGTGGACTATGTGCTTGTTTGTCACCCAATAAAAATAATAAAGCCTCTTTATTCCTTAATAGAAAATAATTACAAAAACAATAATTATATGTATATGCTTAGAAAATAAAATATATATTTCAATTAAGGACCACTCTTTGGGTAAAGGCCGCCTCCGTCTTTTCCCACTCTTTTCGGTTCTGTGCTATTGTTAACCAATTTTTTCCTGCTGTCTTTTCAATGTCATCGACCCATCTTTTTTTGGGTCTTCCTTGTTTGCGTTTGCCTGTTGGTCCTGTCCACATGGTTGCTCGTTTAGTCCATCTGGTATCTGTTGATCGTGCTACATGACCTGCCCACTTCCACTTCAGTTTTTGAGAGTAATGTAATGCGTCTATCACTCTCATTTTCTTGCGAATGTCATTGTTTTGCGTATTTATCTTTTAGTTTTAGGTTTAGGATACTTCTTTCCATTGCACATTGACATGTTAGTATTTTATTTCTTGTTTGTCTATTGAAGATCCATGTTTGGCAGCCATATGTAAGATAGGGAAGTATGCAGCAATCCATGACCACTTTTTTAAATTTAGCGGTATATCAATTTCGAGTACCTCTTTGTGTTTCCAAAACTTATTCCTGGTTATTTCAGGTAATAGCAATTCTCCTATCGATTTCATCTTGATTTCTAAAAATTTTAAAAGATGCAATACTATATAAAAATCTTCGTATGGTATCCATTAGGCATTTGCAATATTATTTTGTTATACTAGAAAAAAATTTTTACTTTCTTCTCGTGGCTCTACCACTTAAAAGAGATACATGAATTCATAAAAAATAATGAACAAAATTATTTATTTAGAAATTTTGTTTGGTGGCAAATAGAAATACCTATCTATTTCATCGATCGGTTATGGCTTGCCTTAAGTCAACACCCCGGCAACGTCACTAGTATGGAGACGTAAATCCTTTTTAGAAGACCTTAAAAACTTAGTATCACTTGTGTTACGGCCCTCAGTTACTCGTTATTCATTATATATATTACTTGTTGTTCGTTATTATATCCCCCTATAATTCGTTTCGCAATCCGACCGGATCAGATCCGGTAAACCGCTACACGATATGAAGCGGCCCAGCGTGGCCACAAAGGCTTCAGCGCTGAGGGTACTTACAAGCTCTAAGTGAACGGCCTTAGTGACGAGGCACACGAAAACGCACAGATAAGCCTTATGTGAACGCGCGTTACGAAGGTTGGAGGACTTGACGAGGAAGGGGCCAGCAAAGTCGGTCCCGACTCCAGCGAAAGGTCGGATGGCCCTGACGCGGTCTGGTGGTAAGTCACCCATCATCGGCTGCGATATGGTGGCTTTCAATTTAATACAAGGTATGCACTTAAAAATGTGGTCGGCCAGCCAAAATCTAAAATTCCCGCTGAAAATTAGCCGCATTCTGAACATGATGGTGAGTTACCAGCAACCGAAGCACAATAATAGAAGCACAAGAAAAAAAAACAAGAACAAAAACAAAAACAAAAGGGACACGTCTTAACAGCTACATCGTAAAAATGTAAAATGTCACAAACTCTGATAGTAAGGTCTACTAACAATCCTTTCATATAACGTTGAATGTAACGTTTGAATATAATAAGTTACTTAAATAATTTATCTTCAAATAAAACGTTAGATATTTAGAGCCCTAGTCTTCCCACCAACCAAATGAAGACCACACAGCTTGTGAACCCGAATCCAATAGAGCCCAAACAGTCGCAACTCGGGTTGTACGCCTTCACTGAGGTCGTCGGCAATAGAACTGTTTGACAAGTGGGCTGTTGACGGCTCAGTGGATCAGTGGGAGCTAGGGCGGCCACTACCTAGCTGGAGCGGCCTCCATCGGACCGGCACTCGAACCAGGGTCACGGTCCCGAAAGCGGCATTCCGGCGGCCTCTCAATGACCCGTGGTTGGAATTAACCGAACGGGCCGACCTGGGGAGCTTCGGGGAACGACCCCCAGACTGGTCGAGGGAGGGATCCCCTTCAAACCTAGGGGCACGGTGGCCGGCAGGGGAGCGCCGAGCGTCGCCCGAGTGAGAGCGTGGCTGAGCGCCGGGGGTTGGGCCCGGCGGAGCCCCGAGAGGAAGCGCCGTTCGCACCCAGGCACAAAACGGCATGATGATTGCCCTGGCAGTGCGGACAGGGCCGCTGGTGAGGGCAGTCTCGTTGGACATGTCTTTCCAAACACGAGTAGCTCAGCGGCGCTCTTTGGCAATGGTTCGTCTCGCTGGGACCGGCTTACTCAATAATCGGGTACAGCGTCACCTGGTGATCGGATGCTCGACAATAGGAGCAGGAGGTCGCCTCCCTGGCCACTATAAGGAGGTAGGGGGCGGCGTCCTCCCGCGGGAGCTCCGCTCGGTCTGAGGGGGGGTTGGCGAAGACTTGCCCGGGGGGTTTCCGCCTCTCCCTGGGCACGGCTCGGTTGGCAGTCTGTAAGTCGTCGACGATGCCCGCTGCGTTTTCAATCTGCCTGCACTGCTCCTCCAAGAACCGCAGCAGGTCCCTGAAGGGCGGAATATAGGAGGCGCCGTCCCCGCCGTACCTATCCTCAAAATGGATCCGAAGATCGAGAGGTAGGCGGGACAGCACAATGTGGAGCAACAAAAAGGACCATTCGTCCACCGGTAAATCCAGCCGTCTCAACGAATTACAGGCCACCAAGATTTACGATGTCCGGACGTAGTCTGGCCCGGTCCTTAGGCAGCGGGAGGTTTAGCAGCTGCTTGACGTATTCATCGGCAACGAGGCTGCACTATCGACCTCCGATCTGAGCAGGGGGGTGATGTAGCGGCGCTGTCGTCGCGCCACAAGCGAAATACACCGAAGCTTAAATCACGCTATCAACATTCCGAATCATAGACAGTATATATAGAACTTCTCCGAACTATCACACGGAGCATTGGCCGCTCCCCGGGCAGAACACCTTGCCCGGTGGGAGATCTCCCCTTTTCCTTCCACGACCACAGTGGTGACCCCGACGTGATCTGAAAAACGCAACCAACAACCTTCGAAAACTTCAAGCTTCATCATCGTCACAGAATACCCTGCCCATTCGCTCCCGAGCAGATATCGTCTGCAATCTTCATATCCTGCAAGCCATCTAGCTTCACAAGGTTCATCGCAGCACTGGAATAATAATGCTTCCTGTTCCTTCAAGCTACTCTCTGCGCTATACAGTGTTCGGCACGGCTCTGAGCCTTACTGCTCGCCTCTGCTTCACGGCACTCTCGCAGATTACTTGCCTTCTTCTCGACTCACCGCAGACTACAAGGCAATCTCCTGGCACTTGCACATTCGTCGGCAACGAGGCTGCACTATCGACCTCCGGTCTGAGCGGTGTCCCCTGGTGATGTAGCGGCGCTGTCGTCGCGCCACAAGCAAAATACACCGAAGCTTAAATCACGCTATCAACATTCCGAATCATAGATAGTATATATAGAACTTCTCCGAACTATCACTCGGAGTGTTGGCCGCTCCCCGGGCATAACAACTTGCCCGGCGGGAGATCTCCCCTTTTCCTTTCACGGCCACATCCGACAATTTCAGATGGCCGACGACGCCCAGGGCCTCCCCCTCCAGTAAGGCCAGGAGGTAAGCCATCTTCTGGCTTGGTGTCGAGTCCCTCCGGGCGTCCACTAGGCTGTCAAAAAGGCCAACAAAGGTCAGCCAGTCGGAGAGGGCCCCGGAGAACCTTGGCAAGTCCAGAGTTGGGAGTCGTCCCAACAGCTCCGGCTTCCGAGGGGACTCGAGCAGGCCACCCAGCCGAACTTCACGCGCTTCATGAGCATACTTGGCCCCCGCCTCGATCAAGTCGTCCGTGAGCGATAAAAATTGCTCGTAGTCCGGAGTCTAGGACTCCCTGTTCCGCTCCCGAGGCCAAAAGCTCAGTGCAAGGCTCCTCCACTACGGCCCTTCGGGCCATGACCTGCTCGAGCCGCTTCTCTAAGCTATGGACCCGATCTGGTCGCCCTATCAAGGTGTGGGAGTTCGCGGCCCAGTACAACTCCGCCTGCAAGCGAAGCGCCGGTGGCTTGTGCGACGGCATCACTACTAAATACAATTACTATTAATTAAATTAACACAATTACACTACACGGCAAGTACACACTACAGTCGGTCGACAAGACGCTGAGGCGACCGACCCTTCGGCAAATTTAGTCTACAATACAAATACCTGACGCGTAGGTACCTAACTTTAAACTACACTCCGTTTACGCAACCTAACGGCGTGGCTCGAACCAGCGATCCGCTAACAAACAACAAAAAAATTTATTATATTACGGCCGGGCGTGATTGTCGAAACAATTAACCACGCTCTTCTACCAGCAATGTTACGGATCTCAGTTACCCCGACAAAAGTCGACTGGACTAGGGCCCATAGTAATCCAACTCGACGAGCAACAGAGGGGGGGGGGCAAATGGCTTATGGATAATTAATTTATAACGGCTGCTATAATCAAACACAAACTTACCGAGCTCCAGAGGTAGTGTCGACCACAAGGCACCGTCAGGGGTAAGTAAATGGTGTGTGTGTGGTGTAGGAAAGTGTGTAATGTAACCTGACGTCACCGAGGTAATCGTTCAGCCGCACCACATGCATTGACTGCTCCACAAGGCGCTCACCGCTATCGGAACTCAAGTCTAGCGTCACTTAGCACAAACTTTAATCTAAGATAACGCGATCTCTGGATCACAAAGTTTAACGTTCCACACGAAAGCAAAATTTCTTCGTACACTTTAACTATTTTATTTTAATTTTAATTAACTACACAAGCCACTCGTCAACGCAAACGCAACGTCAATAGTCAATCAAAACTCAAAAGCCTCGTTGTCACGTATATTAACGACAAAATACAACACCATGGAGGCCGTCGATATGCGACGCAGTAATTCTTATCAAAACTCGCGACCTCTAATCGACACGGTCGCCGCGTACTATCGAATGTTCTAGGCTAATCTCGCGACCCCCACCGGCACGGCCTCAGCGCTCAAAGATTCCTGCAGACTGCCGGCGCGGCCACAGGCCGCACAAAATCAGTCCCCCCGGCCCCGCCGTCAAAACGGTTCCCTGCTTGAGACGCGCGTCCCGCAAGCTGCAGCTTGTAACAATCAGGCGTAAACAACTTGTATTTTTGTATAATGTACTATCAAAATGTACACCAACAATTCTTCTGTCAAAGACCATAAAAGGTACAGGAGACCATCCAAGTATTTATCTCGACAAGGTCCTTGTCGCGAATTATAAAACTGAAGCTTGGAAGTTCGATAAACAGACCGTCTACAATAAACAAATCAGTTCCTGCAGCTTAGAAGAGTAGATCGATAAAAACACTGCTCCAATACTAGAGTGGAAGATACAGAAAGGTGCTATAATAAAGTAAAATGAAGTATGTGCTCACTGCTCTAAAGAAGTCTCTCAACTTGTTGGAAGAATACAATGTGGTCATTGTCATCATTAATCACGATTTGCACCACAAAATGGTGTCCTACCAGAGATTTGTGAAGCTTCATTTTTGTCTTAGATGGCAAAGATTGTGGGATACACTTTTTTTGATACAAAAATGTACCATGGAATTTCCAACAAGACTCTGGCCCTGGTTTCAATGCACGAATCACTCAGTCCTTCGATAACATTGTTCCGCACTATACAAGTGCTGAAGACTGGCTATCATCCAGCCCAACAGCGAGAATATTTAAGGCTGATGATAAGAATTGTGATTGGCCTTGTTTTGACATTGAGTTTCACAATATTTTGTAAATTTATTGTTTTGTATAAATGTATCATATGTATTAATGTATAAAATACACGCAGTTGCAGATTGCCACTGGCACAAACCGCAGTTACAAAATTGCACTGTGGATCTTGACCTGTTGGTCTAGTTGGGTTACAAATTGTGCCCAGTAGTGGAGGAAATAGTCTGCTCAAAAGTGGCCAAATTCTCCAGACAGTGCGTAATTCGGTACTTTGAGATTATCCCGTCAACCTCTCAACGCTCAATACTTTCAATATTATATTTTAATTTGTTTATGTACTATTAACGATTATATCATTATAATGTACGCGGCTATGCAGTGGCTCAAGCGCCATCTTAGCCGCACCTCAAACTACCGTTACTGATATTCCAAGATTGGTGTTTTATTAGGCGAGCATTGAGAGATTAACCCAAAGTACGCGTAATTCTATATATTCGTGACCAGAGGCCTATAAACAAAGCCAAAGGGGATCTTCACTATCACTTTAAATAAAATTGTTTTTAATTAATAACTTAATAAATATGTATACATAAAATTTATTGTTATTATACTGTTTCTTTAATAAAGATATTTTAATAAAGGTTTTTAAATTGTAACAAAATTTATATACAAACAGCACAGTTTTAGATGAAAAAAATGTTTATATTTTAAATATTTACCAAGGTTTTGTTATATCAAGCATCAATATTACACCACTAGCATTCTTATAGACATCCAGAAATGTAGCATCTAATACTGGTGCCCCATAATCTTCATCTTGCGCCACAGGTGTTGTTTGATTCTCTAGCTTCAGGCCTAGTGGCGGCTTCTTTTTTGCACGACCTCTATCAACAACTTCCCATACTTCTACCTGTAAGTAGATATAAACATAATAAGTCAAATGTTTAAAAAAATACTCAAACCGAGAATCAAACATGGTCATCTTTTATAAAAAAAAAAAATAATCAGCCTCAACAATAAGCCTCTTAGCATGGTTCACCACCAGCCATCATGTGGAAGCAGTTTACAACTTATGATAAAATCAATATAACTAATACAATGTCAATTTTAACAATATATCCAATAAGTTCAAAGAGTTATTTCAAAACATCAATGTTGTATAAGGCGGTGAACACACGGAGCAACTTTAGTTGAAGCAACTATCAACTTTTCGAAAGGTTTCTTTACAAATTGATAGTTGCTAAAAGTAAATAGATTGGTTTACAGTTGCAGAAATTTTATGGCACTCTGTGAGCAACGTTCATAGCTGAGTTGCTCAATCTACACAGCGATCAGCATTGTGACGATGGACACCGAAGAAACAGCACTTGTTCTCATTTTACTACGTCGCGTCGTCGCCGTCGACAGCGTCAAAGACAAAAAAAACTGTATATATTTAACAGTCGCTAGTTGCGGCAATTAGAAATTAACTTAGTCATCGATTACGGCAACTGAAAAACTGTTGACGATCACCGGAAATCGAAACTCGAGTTGCTATGTGTGCGCAATCTCATTTGATAATATGTAAACAGCTCGTTGCCAGTTGCTGCAATAGTTGTTCCATGTGCGAAGCGATTTATTCCATTCATCCATCAATTACAGCCTATAAAAGTTCACTGCTGAACAAAGGTCTCCCCTATAGATGCCTCATAGGACGATTTAGCCATAGTCACAAGACTTGACAGACCGATTTGCAACTGCAGTTTTCTACCGACTTCAAAAAGGAGGAGGTATTCAATTCTAGTATGTATTTTTTTTGTGTGTTACCACAGAACTTTTTCTGGGTAAACCGATTTTGATGATTCTTTTAATTATCTGAAAGCTGGTGCTTCTCGTGTTGTCCCATATACGTTCGATGAAGATCTGACAAGTAGTTTTTGAGATATGCTTAAATAATTCGTATTTAATTGACTTTGAATACACTGATGATGTTCTCATTTTTTTTTATATTGAAGACGGTAGGTATTTTTAATTTTACCACTTGTTTATTTTATCTATGAGTTGTTATAAGAAAAACGCTGCCCATCTCCTGTTTGAGTTACAGCCCCTATCGCCTCTTACGACACCCACGCGACGATTATGGGGTAGTGGATATGACACTGTACTACACTATAGATATGGTTTAACAGTTTCCATTATTTCAGATTGTGGCGCATTTACACTTTATTTTATGTATTAACACAAAAATAATTTTCTGGTTTTATAAACATGACATTGTACACAATCAGAAAATAAACATGATGTAAAAGTGGTAAAATTAAAATTTTATATAGCCCACTTCAATTCAATTACTTACTTACTTACTTACTTATCTTCACGCACAATCCCTAACGGGGTAGCCAGAGAGAACAGATCGCCAAGTGTCACGATCCTTACATACCTCTTTCGCTTCTTTCAGGTTCATTAACTTCTTCATACATGCACGTCTAGGTATCCGAGTACTCTTGACCCTCCCCTCTTCGAGCAATTTGCTCACATGGTCTTCGAAAGTTAGGCTCGGTCTACCTCGACACCTTTTAATATTTACTTTCGCTCTATATATTTTCTTCACCATTCGGTCTTCACTCATTCGTTCAACGTGCCCAAACCATTGGAGTACGCCCCTATCAATTTTTGTGATAAGGTCATCTTTCAATCCTGCCATATTGCGAATCTCTTCGTTTCGCTTTCGGTCGGCTATGGTAACGCCACACATTTTACGAAGAGATCGCATCTCCACTGAATTTAACTTGCTTTTATGCTTCTTCTGGCATACCCAGGTTTCGCTGCCATATAACAAAGTCGGTACCAACACTGCGTTATGTATTGCAAGGCGTGCACTCTTCACCACGCCTTGCCTTTTTACTAATGCATTCAGGGCACCATTGACTTTGTTTCCGGCAACGACACGCCTATCCACATCTAAATCACATCTTCCATCCCGGCTGAAAGCACTCCCCAAGTATACAATTTCATTTACCTGTTCTAGACATTCCTGATTTACCCATATTTCACATTTCGTTCTCTCTTCGTCCTTTTCAAATATCAGAACCTTAGTTTTATTAGCATTCAAACGGAGACCTTTAATTTCACATTCCTCTTTCATACACGTGACTAATGCCTGCAGTTCTGCCTCTGATGGTGCAATAAGCACTGCATCATCAGCATACAGCAGACAATTAACTTTTATGTCACCCAATTTCACACCCAAACAGCTATTTTTCAGCTTCTGTAAACAGCTGTCGAGATACAGTATGAACAGCCAGGAAGACATGACACAACCCTGTTTTACGCCCGCTTGGACGCTAAACATGGGTGACAGGTCATGCCCTACCCGCACACAGGCTTTACAGTCATAGTAAAGTGACTGCACAGCCCTTAACAATCGACCATCCACACCATATCCCGGCAACATTTTCTTCCTTATAACCTTATCAAATGCTTTCTCCAGATCCACAAAAGCACAGAAAATCCTCTGGTTAACTCAGAAGCTTCTCCGTGATCATGCGGAGAGAAAACATTTGATCCGTGCATCCTCTTCCAGGTCTAAATCCGCATTGTGCCTCCCATAAGAAACTTTCCGATTTCTCTTGCATCCTACGTGTCAAAACCTTCGAGTAAACTTTACTTGCTAAACTGGTCAAGCTTCAATTAAATATCTTGATCATATTTATGTGCGACCACACGAGAAGCACCAGCTTTCAAATAAAAAAAATAATCATCAAAATCGGTTCACCTAGATAAAAGTTCTGAGGTACAAGTCGCGGCACGTAAGTCTAGCGCTGAACGAAACGTGGAGGGGATAGCTGCGCATGTCGTATCAGTACGCCAATAGCCGTAGCCGAAAGCAAGTAGCAGTAGCCAATCAGCGATACGCACTCTGCCCGCGACCCGCTTACTACTCAATGATACCTTATTTTCGACTTAAGGATGAGTCACGCTAGACCGTGTCTGGTCCAAGCCGAGTGTCGGCCGTAGCACGGTCACCGAACGGGTCCCGTGCCTGAAATTACAAAGACGGGCTTCGACCGTGCTACGGCCGACACTCGGCTCGGACCCGACACGGTCAAGCGTGAGTCATCCTTTATGCGCAATAACGGTCACCGCTAGACTTTTGTGACATTTAAAACAAATAAAGTCAAATTGAGAACCTTCTCCTTTTTTGAGGTCGGTTGAAAGCGTACTACTCCATGATACCTTATTTTCGACTTACGCACACACATTAAAAAATGCAGTTAAATTGGGAACTTCCTCCTTTTTTTGAAGTCGGTTGAAAATAGTAAGTAGTGCCAGTACCCAGTGTTTTGCAATTATTAGGTGAAAATTACTTATACCCTCTTCTCTTTAACATGAGTATGTAAACATAAAAACAGTGTACCTCAAATATATTTGACCTCTACTATTTACTGCAGATGGGCCGAATATTCGTTTCATATTCGGTATTCGGCATATTTTTTTTTATAGAAGAGTGGCAAACGAGCACGCGGCTCATCCGATGTCAAGTGACTACCGCCGCCTATGATCAACCGCAACACCAGGGAAATTGCAGGTGCGTTGCCGGCCCTTTAGAAAGGAGTAATAAAAACAGTGTACCTCAAATATATTTGACCTCTACTATTTACTGAAGATGGGCCGAATATTCGTTTCATATTCGGTATTCGGCATATTTTTTTTTATAGAAGAGTGGCAAACGAGCACGCGGCTCATCCGATGTCAAGTGACTACCGCCGCCTATGATCAACCGCAACACCAGGGAAATTGCAGGTGCGTTGCCGGCCCTTTAGAAAGGAGTAAGCTCTTTTCTTGAAGGTCGCATCGGTCCGGAAAAATCGCCGGTGGTAAACTATTCCACAAAGAGGTCGTACGCGGAAGAAAACTCCTTGTGAAACGTACAGTGGTGGACCGCCAAGCATCCAGATGTGGATGGTATCGGGAGGTTTGCCGCGTAGTGCGTTCACGAAATTTGGCGACTGGAATTAATCCGAACAATTCCTCAGAGCACTGCCCGTGGTGTATGCGAAAGAAATTCAAAGAGATGCAAAATCTCTTCGTAGCGTCAGTGGATCGAGCCGATCGGAAAGCAAGTCGTCGACGATTCGAGCCGCTCTGCGCTGGATGCGGTCAAGCCCAATCCGAGACTTTGTTCAGCAACGACTCGACTTCAGATACAAGTTTGTCCCGGAACTCGGAAATGTTTTCCCGAGAAATATTGGCACGGCCGGTGTACAGAGCATCACCAGTGCTGTCATCTGCATAGCAATTAATGTTACGGGTTTGCAACATATCATTGACATGCAGAAGAAACAGCGTTGGCGATAGCACACAGCCTTGTGGAACACCAGCATTAATAGGCTTGTAATCGGAGCTTGCACAATCTGCAACGACCTTGATGCTCCGATATGCAAGAAAGCTCGTGATCCAATTGCAAAACGGCAGCTTTACCGAATATTCGTATTCAGTCGAATATTCTGCTAAATCACCGAACATTCGTTAAAGTGGTACTCAAAGTGTCCACTGTATTGAAATGAACGAATTGAGTAATGCAATGTCTTTCATAATTTTACTGTTGAAAGTATATTTTATTTATGGGTTAAATCTACTCGTATAGCGTTATGTTTTTGAGGCACTAGACTTATTTCCAATTATAGCAAATAGAAAGCTTGATAAAATGTTTTAGGAATCAAACAAATAAACATTACATTACCTTAATATATTTCACTTTACTTTGGTAGTCGGTTTCTCTAAAATAAGTCCAAATAGTGGATCTCTTGCCACTCATATTCATCATATAATTATTAATTTTCAATAAGAATAACACATTGAAATACTTTTTTTCGCACAAAAATAGTCAAAACATAAGCATGTACCGGCAATTATTAACCGAGGGATTTCCGATTAAATAAATAAATAAATTTGCTCAGAACTACAACACGTACGAATTAACTTGAGACTCCGCTGGAATGCGACCCCCTTCCCGACTCCCCGCACCGCGTCCCGCGCTGGACGTGCGCGCTCAGGACCGATAGCATTTTTGTTACGGATACGCGTCTCGACTTTAATTCGATATTTTTGTTGACTTTTGTTTGTTTTTGTTATACTCGAACGTTATTTTATCTGTTTGTTGTTAATTGCGTTGTTTACGAATAGAACCGATCGTATACAGTGACAATGAATAATAAATATTATAATAAATCCTTATTAATATTCCTTACTTCTATTCCTTGATTTTACATAGTTTGTGCTGTTCCGCTTATCCAAGATTGATTCACTTTCACCCTAAGGTTGCCTGGGAGAGACAGCTTTTTAGCAATAAGGTCGCCTGTTATGCTTTGTATTTTTATTGTGTACGAATCTGTAACACTTTTTATAGTGCAATAAAGTGTATAATAAATAAATTAATAATATTATAAATGAGAAAGTGTGTATGTTTATTTCTTTGTCCTTCCTTGACGCGTTAACTAAAAATAATATTATATATATATATATATATATATATATATATATATATATATATATATATATATATATATATAAAAATAAATATTAAAAATATATAAAAATAGCAACAGTACATCACTTATTACTTCACCCCTTGCCAGAACATTTTATTTTGTTTTTATTAATAATCTCATGCAAATCTCAAAAATTTCAAATAAAAAAATATTACGACGCATTATTTTGCACACCGTACATTGACAATTACGTCATCGGCCCAGGTCTCAAGTTAATTCGTACGAGTTATAGATGATGCAATAACATGTCAGATGTAGCGGTGGAGCGAGGGGCGGGGTCCAGTGCTAATCCCGCGCGCTTTACGGTAACAAGTTTCAAAATAAATTGGGTAGGTACCAAAGTGATCCTGCCGAATAATGTTCGGCCGAATATTCGGTTCGGTAAAAGTTTAACCGAACCTAATTTTCGGCCGAATATTCAGTTCGGTAAAAGTTTAACCGAACTTTCGACATTGAGGTATTACTACTATGTATTGAGAAGACAACGCCTTGCATGATTTTGCGCCACGCTTTGCGGTACACTGTACCGCAACTGTTTATTGAGTGTCCAACTCCCGCACAGACGAGTCGTGTTCGCTTCGCATAAATAACAACTTCAAAATGCCCGGTTGTGTTTTTTTTTTTATAGAATAGGCTGACAAACGAGCACACAGTCCATCTGATGGTAAGTGATCTATCTTCCATTACAAATCAAAATGCAGATGCGTTGTCACCCATGAGGACTGAGATGGAATGCCTCATTTTCAGTAAAAAGGGTCTCCGGTTCTCTACACTCACCATACGAAATACAGCAGCATTAAGCTACTATTTCACGCTGGTATTCTGTGAGAGCGTGGTCCTTCCCCGGTCGAGCCGACCCATTCGTGCTACAACTATACTACTAATATAACTGCAGCATGACTCTACCACATAGAAAAGACTGCAGTAAACACTCCAGAACATCAAAAAAAGTGATGGTTTAACATTTCATCGGTAAGTAGATATTAAAACGTTTAAAACTCTTTCATTTAAAGTTTATCACGTTGTTACAATGCTCACGAGAATCGGGCAAAATCTAAATAATCCCTAATGAAAACTGCCGCTGCATGTTTTAATAGTTTGGTTAGACGACGTAACTATTATTTAAGCGCTGCAGCAAACTTATGTTCTAACTCTTACCAAAATGTAGCAAAATTTTGGTTCCGGGTGTCTGTTCTATATGTATAGTTCGATGACTTTCGGCCGAATATTCGTATTCGGTGAAATCCATGTTTGGGCCATCTCTACTATTTACAATAGAACTAGTCAGTAATATTCATCAGAAATTTTACTTGTATAAATGTAAACCTCAATTGTATTATATGAATTTATATTTAGGTACTACTAGCGACTTGCGTGACTTAACACAGGTAACATCAAATCGGGTCAAATGACCTGTTGGCCCTTATCTCCCTGGTATTAACATCTTGACCAATTGGCTATTATCAGCTATGTAGATACATTGAGTTTGATTATATTATTTTAGTAGGAGAATTGTAGTTAATTTTAGCATAAGAAGCTATCGCTTGAAAAAGCTGTTTTAGGAGGCACAATTTTTTCCAATTTAATCAGAAAATATCACAGTAAAAATACTTGTAAAACCTCACGAATCATGATTTTTTAAATGGTAATAATAATTAAAAATTTATGCAGCCCAACCAGATATGAAAATACATTAAGAGTAATAATATTAAAAATATTAATAAACATTTAAAATAAATTATTATAAAAGATAATTTCCTAATACTTAAAAAAATATAAATAAAAAGGAATAAATTAGGCTTATTTGAGTATGGTATTTTTTGTGCCTCCATGCTTAAATTATTTGTTTTCAAAAGACTTCTAGTCATCATTTTATTGCACTTAAATTATAAACATAATAAAGAACCATTTCAATGTTTTTTTTTTCATATGTGTGGCTAAAAAGGTCAGAGTATATGAAATTATCCATATTTATTAGATCCCTATCTCCAGCAGTCAACATGGGTAATAAATCAATTTTAAATATTACCTACCCTAAAATAGTGCTTCTGTTATTTAATCTAATGCTAGGTAGGTATAAGCTTAGAAATAAAAATGGATATTTTGTTATATATTTGGGTTGACTTTATAATCTACAGCAAACTTTTGTTGATTTTGGTTTTAATCAATGTACAATAATTGCTCTGATGCATGCACTAATGGCTTTTTTGGTGGAAAATGGTATATTTTAAGAAATTATTTTAAATATTTTACAATTTACAACACAAACAATGAGATAGATTATCTCTCAAATCATTTATTTGGCATTAAGGAATCAATTTTACTGATTGATCTGAAACACCCAATTGATTCAGTGATTCTATACAAGAACCCATCAAATTGTAATCCACATCCTCTCTATGAGGCGGTCTGTGAATGAAAACATGGATGGATGTATGAATTTTGCTTAATATGAGTGTTTCCCTACTATTTACACTATAGAAAGTAGTAGATAAATAGATAATACTTTGAATCCACCCTTTGCAACCGTAAGATGTTTTTTCCACCTGGACTACTACAGTTGCTGGTATACCATAAGGTGGTGCATTGTCTCCTCTCCTGTTTGCAATTTTAATTAACTCTATAAGTTATAATTTGTCTTGTTACTACCACTTGTATCTTAATGATCTCCAAATCTATACTCAGTCCTCTCTTGAAGATCTATCTACAGCAGTTGACACTATTAACACTGATCTGACTTGTATTTCAAATTGGAGTAAATGTTATGGTTTAACGATTAATCCTAAGAAAACTAAGGTCATTGTTATCGGTAGTTCTCGATTAATTGGTAAAATTGACTGGTCTTCCCTACCCTCTATTATACTAGACTGCACTCTAATCCCTTACAGTAACAAGGTTAAAAACCTGGGGTTGAATCTCGACTCCTGTATGTCTTGGATCTCCCATAATAATGAGGTTAGTAGAAAAATGTTTGCTGCATTAAGCTCTTTATATAGATTATGTAATTTTCTTCCTACATTAACTAAAGTTATACTTGCCTAGTCTCTACTTCTGCCTATCCTTCATTTTCCTCATATTTGCTATCTTGACATTACCGAGGAGCAGCTTAATAAGCTTGAGCGCATTCAAAATTTATGTATTAGATTTATATTTGGGCTTTGCAAATATGATCATAACTCTGAATTTCGCAAACAGCTCAAATGGCTCCTAATCTACCTTTGCAGGAATACTCACATTCTTTCTGCATTATATGAAATGCTGTTTAATCCTTCCACTCCTCATTATTTAAAAGACTGTTTCCAGTATCTTTCCCTTACTCATATATGGTTCCTTCGATCCTCTGTCAATCTTTCTCTCTCTACTCCTTAGCACTCTTCCTCCTTTTTTAAGAAATCCTTTACCGTAACTGCTGCGCATTTGTGGAACTTTTTACCTCTCCAGATTCATCATGCTAAATCTCTTCACTCTTTCAAAAATCTTGTTAAATTGTATTACTTACAACGCTATTACAATTTTCACTTATATTTATTTGTATATATTTTCATATTTTTATTTTGTACGCCCCCTTTATTTTAACTATTGTTTGCATCAGTTCTCTACACAAAGGTTGTCGGGAAGAGATCACTTTCAGAGTGATAAGACTGCCTGTTGTACATATTCTACATTAGATTTAACTTACTCTATATTTTGAATTTTGTACAATAATGAGTAAATAAATAAATAAAAAGAAATAAGTTTAGCACCAAGGTAGAGATAGACAATGAGCTAAGAGAAAAGCAACTTTAGATAACAGCATGTGAGCTGAACAAGGAAAACGAGCGTACTGCAGAGGTGGTTAGCAAAGCCTCGGAAGTATTTTAAGTTATTTCTTGATGTCTTATCAATAGGTTATAAAGGGTTCAGAAGGAATTTGTATGTGGTGACAACCGTTTTTCACCCTTTCACTAATCTATCCCTTTATCAAGGCGCCTAATTTCAAACAATTGAAATATACTTATATGACTCACAGGACAGTGAAATTGAAATATACTTATATGACTCACAGGACAGGGAAATTGTTAAGAAAAATAACTGCTTACAATTTAATACTTACTTTTACGATATAATCTGTATTTTTATAAGTCCAGTGAATGGGAGCAACTTGTATCTGCTCTGTGGGTACATATTCTTCTGTGAATGGCCCTCCTTGTAATCTTTGTAGAAGACACGATTTTCCAACATTTCTATCGCCTTTGATTAATATTTTCACTAAAAAGTTAAACTAATATTACATGCGAGTTTTCCAATAGATCGTAAATCACATAAATTGGAGCCATATACATTTGACCGCAAATTATGCTAAAGAATTTTACTGTTAAAATGCACTCCTCTCGAAAATTTCTTCTGTAGAGAAGAGGACATCGGCATTGGAGCTGGGCAGCGATCATCATTACTTCTGGTTAATTTCTTTAGGGCAGAAAACATGATTGGTTCAAAGATCTTTCGGTTTCAAAGGCTACTGTTTTCCTAACATAACACGGGTAAAATCTGCTTTGCCTTAAACTAATACAAACTAGATTAAAAAATAATAGTAAATCAAAGAACTTATGTTGTTAGAGTTTGTTGTACGTAATAATAGTAAGTATTATTAAATATACAGAAGTACTGTTACAAAAAACATGTCATCACAGTCCACAGAACATAAACCCCTAAAGGGGTACAGTACAGGCATAGTAAAAACCACAGAATACATTTAGTAAAAACAGAATAGTAGGATTAATCCTGCACCGCGCGAGGCCTTAAATGCCCACTGTTGCAGAGTTGTCTGTCCCTGTCTTTTTGTTCTCAGCCAAGTCTCATTTAGATTTATAAGTAGTTATAATATTTACAAACATAATACATACGGAAACTATCTATGCATCATCATATTTGGTAATCATTTTTTTCGTTTCCTCTCATCGTTTATCAAAAAAGAAATCCCAGGTTTCACTACAACAAATGCCAAATAACTATAATACGAGTAAATGAACACTTAACACTGACTGTTTCCTTAATTGAGTTGAGCATGGATCTCAATTAGAAATAAATAAATATATATAGAATAGGAAAGCAAGTGCAGACCGCCCTGGGCGTTAATCTTATACAAACTAACCCTCGCCTTCTGGTCTAAATAAAGATCAAGAGGCGTTAGGCACAGAAGTGCATTAAAAGCTGCTTCAGGCGTTGATTACATTGAAGTTGTTAGAAATTAATTTGCTCGATTCCGCGTAATAAAATTCAATGATGTGTCCTGCCCAGTCTGAAGAGCACCTACCTCCCACCCTCACTCAGTTACGTTCACTATCCCCTTCACCAACACTTTCAGCACCACCACTCTCAGCACCATCACACCCAGCGCCAACCCTCCCAACACCATCACACTAGCAACGACACACCACTCTTGATAATACAACATGTGTTTCGCCTCCACACGAGGCATCCTCAGATGAAGTAGACTCTGCGGAGGCTGACACTGTATTCGTAACCACTAATCCCATCACCATCACTTCTAGCACTCTCTCCGCTCTGCACATGCTGCTATTTATACAACTCGTTGATCAGCGAGTTGTATAAATAGCAACTGTTTTAGCTCGCCACTCAGCCTTCAGCTACTGCAGAGACTACTTCACCTGTGGATACCTCGTGTAGAGGTGAACACGTATCGTATTATTGAGAGTGGTGTGTCTTTCCTAGTGTAGTGGTACTGGATGTGGTGATATTGGGAGTAGTGGCTACGGGGATAGTGCATGCAATTGAGGGGGGTTGGGAGGTCCTTTTCAGAGTGGGTACGAGACGTCATTTTATTTTATTACGCGAATATGAGCAAATTAAGTTCTAATAACTTCAATCACATGGATTGAAAAATGCCTGAGAATATTGAGTCAAATTCTGGTCTGAACATCTTTAATTTTCCTGCCACTTTTTGACCATTACACTTAATCTCGACATCATTCATGTCTAATTCAAAATCTTGTACAATTGCATCAAGAAAAAGGCCAGTAAGTCCTTTTACCGAAGAGTCACTTACTGGTTTGGAAGCAACAAAATACTCGTGCTTTGACTTCCTAAGTAGCGTCCACAAAACGGAATATTATGTAGCGTTTCTGTTGATTTCGGCGCCAACCTGATGATGGTACCCAGTGCGGACGCTCCGCTCGCACTGCCCTAGGGCCGCCATTGGTGATGTGATAATTAATGTACTTATGAGGTATGTATCTATGTATAGAAATAGTTATATAACCTATTAACAAAAAGCTAATTTACCCCAATAATTTATATTAATTCATTAAAAAAAGAGAAAATAAATGAAGCAAAGACTGCTAGCAAAATTTTATTAAAAGCCAGCAAAGTCTCAAACAAAGGTGATGGCTAAGCGCAGCGGTGGGCGTCCCAGACTCGACCCGATCTTCCCGACTTAGCAAAGGTACTGTCACGTGTTGCGTGCCTGACACATTAGGGTCGTTCGGTACATTTCTTAGAAAAAAACTTACTAATCCGTTTTTAATATGGTACAGAGGTGTCACAGTCACACTAAGTGACTGACATTGACGTGACAGTTTATACAAAGTTAAGTACTCTGTGGTGTCTACTTTGATATAAAAAAGGAGTTTTGGCGGGAACTTGGCCGTAGACGGATTGTCGCTCCAGTTTTGTCACTTGAATAATGGTTTAAAGTGGATTTTGATTCGTAAAAGTGATGCGATTTTGTGAATTAAGTGTCCGCGCATGTGAACTATTAGAGAAAATGACGAAACAAGTGTTTTGATGTCGATATAAACCTCAAGTAATTTGGATCGCTTGAGCGCCTTATGAACTTGAGTGGCTGTCAACTGTCCGCTAGGTTGAGCTGTCGTCAAAATCTCCCATGGGCTTCGCAATGTGACGCATCAGCATATTGTGAAGAAAAAGAACATAAAATGAAGATTCCCAAAGAAAGGATGGGCTCAGAAGGTCTAGAAACCAGAGCCGTAAAGCCAGTTGGATGGCCCATTTCAAGATGTCCCTAAGTCCGTATTTACACTTTTGAGAAAATGCAAAGATAGTTTTTAATTTTGCTTTTGAAATGCTACCTTAAGGAATAAAAATATATCTGTGACACCAAAATGTTTTCCGTTATGTCTATTTCGAATACATCATCATCATCATCATCACAGCCCTTCACAAGTCCACTGCTGAACATAGGCCTCCCCCAAGTAATGCCACAAAGCACGGTCCTGAGCCACCTGCATCCATCGACTTCCTGCATATCTTACCAGGTCGTCACTCCATCTAGTGGGGGGTCGCCCTACACTACGCCTACCGGTACGAGGCTGCCACTCGAGAACCTTTCTTCCCCATCGGTTATCGGTTCTTCGAGCTATATGGCCGGCCCATTGCCACTTCAGCTTACTAATCCGTTGGGCTATGTCGGTCAATCTGGTTTTACTGCGGATATCCTCATTTCTGAGTCTATCACGCAGAGAAACTCCGAGCATAGCCCTCTCCATAGCTCGCTGAGCGACCTTGAGCGTCCTCATACGGCCAGCAGTGAAGGACCACGTCTCTGATCCGTAAGTCATCACTGGCAACACGCACTGGTTGTACACTTTAGTTTTCAGAGATTGAGGTATACCTGACGAGAAGATATGTCGTAATTTCCCGAACGCTGCCCAGCCGAGTTGAATCCGTCGATTGACCTCTCGGTCGAAGTTGGACTTACCTAGTCGGACTATTTGTCCCAGGTAAACGTACTCGTCAACAACTTCGAGCATAGTGCTCCCAACAACTACCGGCATAGGTGTGACATGGACATTAAACATAATCTTTGTTTTGTCCATGTTCATCTTAAGACCTATCCGTTGGGAGGCACTATTGAGGTCATTGAGCATAGTGCTTAAGTCCTCCAGCGATTCTGCCATAAGGACTATATCGTCGGCAAATCGAAGGTGAGTGATGTACTCGCCATTGATGTTAATACCGTATCCTTTCCAGTCCAGTAGCTTGAAAACGTCTTCCAAAGCAGCGGTGAAGAGTTTCGGGGATATAACGTCACCCTGTCTTACACCTCTCTGCAGTTGGATAGGTTTCGAGCTCTGGTTCTGTACTCGGATAGCCATCGTAGCCCTACTGTACAAACACTTCAGCACTTCAATATACCGACAGTCAACTTGGCACCGCTGAAGGGACTGCAGCACCGCCCAAATTTCGACGGAATCAAAGGCTTTCTCATAGTCCACATACGCCAGGCAAAGTGGCAAATTGTACTCTTCAGTCTTCTGTACAATCTGCCGCAGGGTATGTATGTGGTCTATGGTACTGAAGCCTTTTCGGAAACCGGCTTGTTCGGGAGGCTGGAAGTCGTCGAGTCTGCGTGCGAGACGATTCGTAATGACTCTCGAAAACAGCACGTAGACGCGGCTCAGAAGGGAAATCGGTCTGTAGTTCTTCAAGAGAGCGTTGTCGCCTTTCTTAAAGAACAAGACCACCGCACTTCTGCTCCACGCCTCTGGAGTAGTGCCACCACGGAGGACGGAATTGAAGAGCTTCTGAAGGACTTCAAGTACCGGTGTTCCACCCGCTTTCAGAAGCTCCGCTGTAATTCCATCCTCGCCTGGGGCCCTGCCGTTTTTAAGGTGCTGGAGAGCCATTCTAATCTCGCTTAGACTGACGTCCGGGATATCATCGGAATAGTGTCAGATAAGACTTGCTCTTGGATCGTTACTTGCGTGTGGCTCCAACGATGATGTGTACAGCTGCCCATAGAACCTCTCAATCTCACTCAAAATCTCAGGTGTCCCGGAAACGATGCTGCCACACTCAGTCTTCAGCCTTGACAGTTGGCTCTTTCTGGCAGACAGATCTCTGGCAAAGACTTTGGAGCCCTGGTTCCGCTCGATCGCTTCTTTAATACGAGCAGTATTAAAGTTGCGTAAGTCTCGCCGCATGCATTTGGAGATCTGTCTGTTCAGTTGCCTGTATGCTGTCAAATCTGTTGACGATTGCAGCCTCATCTCCCGTCTAACAGCCATGAGATTAAGAGTGTGATCGGAGAGTTTTTGTGTTCTTCTGCGGCGGGTCTTGCAGAACTTAGCTCCGACCGCATGGACAGTTTCCACGAGCTTGTCATTCATATCGTCCACTGCATTGCAATCTTGTAGGCACTGAAAGCGGTTGTGTAACTCGAGCTGAAAGTTTTCGGGATTTTGGATCAGAGCACGAGGGGGACGGAGCGTTGACTTCATTAGACGAGACCTCTCCAACTTAACGTTTAGGTTCAGTGTGCCTCTAACCATTCGGTGATCGCTGCCAGTTTTCACCCTTGCGATCACTGAGACATCACTGAACAGTTGGCGTCTGGTCGTCATAATGAAGTCAATCTCATTTTTTGTCGAACCGTCGGGGCTCGACCAGGTCCACTTCCTGTGGGGCCGCTTCTGGAAGAAAGAGTTCATCATAAAGAGTCCCTC